AGTTTGATAAGGACAGAGCCAAACCCTCTTGACACAGAAGCTTCACCAGAGAATAGATCCAGGTTGGTGAGATCCTCAACACAGAAGAATAAATCTTCACATTGATCCAAAATTAATATATATATATATTTGCATGTATTTGCAAAATGCACCTTTACACTTGGTCGCTTGCCCGCTGCACTTCATCTGATTGCTGGGCAATAAAATCACACGCGTGAATCCTGATCATCTGATTTCCAAACGGTCAGGTACTTGCCATTTAAGATCAAAAAATGATCATATATATTGTATTGTACACATGCATTGACTTGATGCATCCAGGAAGCACTACCAGTGGACATCCCAGCCAAATCAAACATGTCGCGCAACGCTTGGTCAGGGCTAAGGGTGATTTTTGCCACTGTTTCATGGCAAGGATTGGGAAGCTCAGACACCCTAAGCCAGAATCTGACTGTCAACATCACGAAAGTATTCACTGCATCTACCTGGGTTCAACCTGCACATGCACAGAACTGCATCACATGGAGCACACACGGTCTAGCCCCTTCTAGCCCCCTTTCTAGTTTTCAGCTCAGAAATGCACGGCTCCATCCAGCCTATAGCTATAGATCACTTGATCAAGCGGAAAAAAAGGGCACACTCCAGTCAATCGCGTTGGCTATCCTCATGTTCATGGGGTGCCAACCATCGTGCTGCCTTCTTTGCAATCTCCCACCTGAGCAATTTAAATGTATGTGCATACCTGCAGGAGCAACATACACATGATCCAATGCTTCCAAGAATGCAAGTGTGTTCTTTAGGGAGCCCACGCTGCAACAATGCCACCATATTTGGCCCAGGCGATACTGATCCCCTTCTGCTTGTTGACCTGATTGGTGTACGCTTTTAGTAACTTCATTCCACTTGAATAATATTATAATATATATGTGCATGTACAAACAATCGCACCATAGCCTGCAAGTCAAGTTCCAAAGCTTCGTTCACCTGTGCGACATATTCCTTATCAGCACCATAGACATACAAGCTCGATGACCTCATCCTTAGATTTCGATAGAATAATCGAATGAGTCAAAGGGTTCATCACTTCACCAAGCACAAAGAACACTGGAGAGTATGTTTAATTCAGCAAGTCAAAGTTCATCACTCCAATGCTTCCGACTTGTTTCTCAGGAGGTGCAGGCTCCAGGATATCAAGGTTTGGCTTCAGTGTAAAGGTCCTTGGACACATGCCACGGCCATGTGTACCAAACAAATCATTCAAACAGGAGTTCCTAGTTCCGGAGCTGCGCATGCATGGGATTTTGAGGCCAAGACTTCGTTGTGTCCTGCACGATGTTCAGTTCTTCCAAAGGCAGCATGTTATCGAATTCAGCTGCGTGTTTCAGGGCTTGGAGTTCCTCAAATGCTTTCTCCTTGGCTGATTTTTGCTCGGAGCCCATGGGTTACCATGAACATCAAGTCTAGTTACAGCAGGTTCCATGATTTCTTGATCATTGACCAGTTCTATCCAGGGATCCAATTTAGTAGACTGTTTTGAATCCACCTTGGCCTTCTTTGGAATCGATGACGATGATGGTGAACCACATGGGCGCTTCATAGCACCAGCTGCTGCGGCAGCAGGTCTTTTTGATGGGGTGCCCCGACCACGCCCCCTACCACGCCCACGACCCTTGTTTTGCTCCCTTTCCTCAATTTCTTCAGCTTCTTCACGGAGTGCTTTCTCCTCATCCTCAACCTCTTGCGCTGCTTTCTTCATTTTTCTTTGGGCCTGCTGCAGGGAATGAAGAGCAGAATGGACAATCGATCGATCATGATCATGCAGTACCTATACCAATAAACCCCAACCTAGCCTTGACCAAATCAGTGTCCCTCATGCGATCCCGCTCATTCAGCTCTTGAAGCATTTGCTGACATTCTTGTAAGATCTCTTTTTGCCAGGGTTCCGTTGCAGCTGCCAGGCGATCTACCAAGGGTTTTCTGTCCTACGGGGTAAAAAACAGAATCCTTGAATATTAATTGCAATGGACCCAATACTGCAACGTACACCAATTCAAACACCATGGCCTGAAAGGTACCTTTGTCCGCTGCAGCAGGGCTTTCCATCTCTTCCCCAGAACCCTCGAGCTCAAGATCAGGATGTTTTTGACCTGGAGGGATCTCATCTTCCACTGAAACCTCCTCATCATGCGTAGGCACTTCCTCCTCTGCTCTCTCAGCGGCTTCCTGCGTGTCCTGCTCCACCTGTGCAGGCTCAGGAAAAAGTCGCCGCTTCAAGATTCCAGGCGGTGACATGGCACGTGTGGGATCTGCTTTGGAATTCTCCTGGAAGGATTGCCAGTTTTCTTTGGCACAACCTCCAAATCCACCTAAGGCCACAAAAAACATGATTAGCGTGCTCTTTTAAAATATGTATAGAAAGTCTTGGTTTGGAGTATGGCCCCATCTCCTTGTCCTTCAAGGCAGATCCCCTACCTGAAGCTGACCTTCCCCTGGTAGCTTTCTTCTTGCCCGATGGAGTGATTTGACCACTTGCCTGGGCGAAATACACTGATCAAGACGATATGTGGCCAGTAGAGGCATGCCAAGCTGAACAAAAGCTAGGTTAAATTCATAGCCAAGGAACTTCGAGCTTCCTTCGCAAGATGTCCTTTAAGGTCTGCATATTTCCACGGCCAGATCTTAGTGTGAAATATAGGTCTCAAGTAAGTTGATGTATGTGCTCCACACATGTGCACAGTCATCAAGGTCTAGTTGCAGCCATGACACCGAGCACCATCAGGATTGTTTTGGTAGCGCTTCTGCACATACATCGCCAAAGCACGATGGTACCCTCCTTCAGTGTCTGCCCAAGCCTAAGTAAATCAGAGTTGGCAGTTGGGATCATCATGAATTTTGCAAACATAGACAGTGTTCAATCAACCTGTTCAAGAATTAAGAACATCAGATTCTTCAAACCAGTTACCTCGTGCTCGTCCGCGCTTTCGAACTTGTTCAGGCAATAGGGTGCAGATGCCCAGCGTAGAGCAGCCCGAGGGATTAGTTGGGCAGGCATCATGAACTCAAAGCTCACATTTGACATGTTCTTTTGTTTTATAGCATTCTCACAGCTCCCAAATTTAAACATTATTATAATGGGCCTTGACTTCATGTTGGGTTGGAAGTGATCCTCCAAATTGCGCCAGTAGTTGCACCATAATCTCAAAGTTGTCGTCCATCTCGACCTCAGATCTAGATATATCTAGAGTCTAGAGTTCCAAAGACATATACAAATGCAAAACGTCCAAATCCTGTTTGGCTTCCTAGAGGATCCCACGCCTCATTCTCAGTAATCTTCCCCTTGTCAGGCATATTCACGAAGGTCCATTTGGGTTCCTCAGAGTTTGTTCAGGGCAAGAGCTGGTTGCACACACACACAGACTCTAATCATGATTATATTAATAAACCAATGCAGCTGTAGCACACGGCGGTCGCTCTTCTTGAGCCCATACCTTGCCCGAAGTAGACTCCTTCGCTCTGCCACGTAGTTCTTCTTGGACAGGATGTCGCTGTACAAAGACTCAGTTCATTGCCCACCCCAAGATCATCTATCACTCTAGTAAATTCAATGCATGGGCATCGCACAGGCATGCACATTTTTGCATGAAAGAAGCTTTGAGAATCTGGATGTTCTTTTCACCCTGCTTAGTCTTGGCCATGGCTTGAGGTGAGGTTCAAAGGTGGAGCTCAAACTTCATGCATGAACAGTGGAATGTACCATGTTCATGCCTATAATTATACAAACTTGTGGTACCACCTTAGTTCTATTTTCCAATGAATTGGGCCCAAACATGGCCAAGCCAGCAATGCGCATTCCAACTCGAGCTCGTGCACGTACCATGCACAACTGGCAAGGAAAAAACACAGGGTGGTCCTTTGGGTTCTCGATGGTGTGCTGAGGGATCGATGAGATAGTCAGGTGGAGATCATAGGGGCATGTGTATACAGTGGGGCAAGGAACCGCCAACATGCTCAACAACTCAGGGTTTGACTCTGCGATAGGGCTCGTTTTGCCATATCTAGATCTTGCCACCACGGCCCACAAACCTTAGGTGGAAGGAGCGGTTGGGATGGCATTGCACCACTTTGCTTCACCTTTTTGTGGCAAACCTACCGACTAACAAACAAACAGAAAGCAAAAGCATTCCAATGCTGTCTCTTAGAAGCCAAAAAGACAAAGTTCAGAATCATCCCATTGAGGAAGCGCAGGTGCAAAGTGAGGACAAAAGGGAATGCCAATGTAAGGATGTCTAGGCTTATTGATCATGCACACATATATAGACATTGTAGAAGCGCCATGAACCATTCACTGCTTAAAGTCATTGGTCCTTGAGGCCTCATTTGAGAGCCTAAATGACGGTTGTCAAGGAAAAAATGCACGTTTGCGAACCAGCATTTTAAAAATGCTCGCTGACTATCAGGGTATATATTCCTGACAAACCTGCATGGAAGGAAAGCAGTTTAGGTCCTTGCAGAAGCCTTCAGCGACCTGGATCGACCAATCTCCGATGCTTCGGGGTCGAAGCGAAGATCGAAAAACTGCTCATCACTCATAGGTCATAGGTACCATGCAGTACACCAAGGGAACCCTAAGAAGGGCCGGGCCCGAACCAGTGGGAAGATTTGAAGGGTTCGGACTCGGACCCCTGCTATACATTGCTATTGAGGGCCCAAGGATTCTTTCATAAGCAGTCAAGAAGACTGGCCTTGTTGGCTGTTTGGCCTGCAAGGGAAATTGGAGACATTCTTCGCTAAGCACAGCAAGTCCGCAGTCCGACCATGCCCTGCGTCTGCGTCACGAACGGCTTCCGACTGTTTGTGGCTCATGGGCTCATCCTTTCACGCCAAACGGTGACTCCTCAGAAATGGTGAAAACACATGCATCTCCGCCCCCAACTAAATCAGATCTCTAAATCCAGTCAATCATGTCCCATCTCCGCCAACGCGACCTGGCGACACCGCGCCTGGGGCTGCTGTTCCGCGTTGGTGTGCTGTTTGCCGATGGCGGACGGCCGGCTTTAGGAGGCGAGAGCGCGAAGTCCGGCAGCATGGGTGGCAGCCGGGACATCAACGAGGGCTCTGGATGGTGGCCATTCTGCGCCCAAGCCACCAGCCTCACAGGATGTGGATCTATATGGAAGAAAGGAACGATTCAGATCCTTAAAGTGAGAATGGCAAAGCAGCAACAGCTAACAAAAGACCTCAAAGACCAACAAACAATATATATATATACGATATTGTGGCTGGCATTTTGTCATGAACAGGCGATTCGGTCTTCAGGCCTTCATATGCCTTTAGCGGCCAAGCAAGGACATTCACCATGATCCACGGACCCGGCGTCTGACCATGCCTGACCCATCCCACATGCCCTGCGCAGAACTGAAACGACCGAACCCCGTGCCGTGCCTCAAAGCGCCAAAGAACTGTTCCCGGTTCAGGGCGCCTTGGTCGCCACTGTCGGCCAAGTCCCAAATGCTGTGCAGCACCTCCATAGGCAGCCTCGCTCCGATGCGGATGTTCGGCAGTGTCGCTTGGAACCACTGCGCGCGACACGCTCGTGACCTGTGATTGACCTTTTATTCATGTGTCCACCTTGGATGAAAACAATCTCTGTACCCCATCCACCCCTGATGTCAGGACACAGTCTATGGTAGTGGTCACCTGCCAGCTGGCCCTGAGACACCTTCAATCTCTCTGTGATGCGGCTGTTGTGGTCGACGATTCCGGAGCAGCAACAACAACAACAGCCACAACCACACCGACAAAAACAAGAACAACAGCATACCCAGCAAGTCCAAAGGACGGGTTAAACTGGTGCGTTAGCGTAAAGGACGCATTTCACCTCCCAAATTCCAAGACCTAATTTTCACAGGTTTTATACGGCCGTTCACCCTGTTTTCACGGGCTTTTCACGTTCTTTTCACGGGTTTTTCACGGCCTTTTCAAGCTTCCAGCTCCTGTTTTGCTAAAGCACCGGTTAAACCAGTGCGTTACTAAAGAACTGGTTAAACTGGTTTGTTGACCCACTGGGATACTACAAAAATCTTAGGAATGCAAACTGCGGATCAAAAAGGGTCGATGCTCAGTGACTCATCAAATGCCCCCCAAACAAATCGACCACATGCCACATGCTATGTGACCCAAAACGAGTTCACCGATGCCGGTCGGGCACATGCCGTGGAGGCCCACTTCGACCTCGAGCATCTTTCCCCGAATCGGACGAAGCACCCACTTTGCATCAAGAAGTTCGCTGCCCGCTCGCCGTCGATCATGCCGCCACCCAAATCTTGGTAGAGCTTCTCCTTAGAGCCGAGGGAGAAGGCGGTATCAACGTATACCGTGCCCCCGTTCATTCCCAAAGAAGCATCAAAAAAGACACTGACCAAGAAAACAAGGCAAATGCCTAAATGTACCACATGAGACCAGGTTTGTCCCCAATATTGCTTGGCCAAACATCTATAAAAGAGAGAAGCAAAGAACGCCGTTGGACCACCGCCGCTGTTTCACCTGCAGCCGACGTGTAGGCCACCTGCCACAAAGTGACCCATTCGGCCAAGGCTCATCAACCGGTCCAGCGTGTCAGGGTATCTGAATGTTTTGACCCTTCAACTTCAAACCCAAAACCAGCAGGAGCTTCAAGTCCAATTGCAGGCTACTCCTTCTTCGGCCGTTTTTGAGCATTTGGATGGCCCCGTATATCTTGTATACCCATGGAATTTCAGCACGACCCGGTCGCCTGGTTCATGTAGACGACTGTGACATCGACTCTTGATCTACTGTGGTCTTTTTTGTCCGACCAAAACCATTACTGTCGACACACGTCCAACCTTCCCAGGTCGCCAGGACGTCCATCAAACCCATCCCAGCCCGTTTCGAAGAGGGTGTATCCGATACAGTATCCCTGGCCCAGTGGATGATGATGGTTCAGTTGCAGGCCCTCCGATAACATCGTGTTTACCGACTGTTACAGGTAACTTTGGACACCCCCATCCCATTCCGAAAGCAAAGCTCATAGAGCTCCAGCTCTTGTTCTTCAGGCCCGCAAGATGCAGCTCCCAGCATGGCGCTGGGAGAGGCGGAGCGAGTGAACTCGCTCGGCAGGGCGTTCCGGTGTTTGTGGTTCTTTTGAACGAACGGGTTGGCGCCCTGAAGAAATCCAAAGAACATATTCAAGAACCTTGGGCTATTCCATCTGCTTGATCTACATTACAATCATTACATGACGATTGGATTATCATGGATGATCCAAACCAATCAGAAATCATAAGAAATGACTGGGCCCGTTGATTCGGAGTCCATCGCCAGCTGTGACGTGTGGAAACGATGTGACGTGTGGCAGCATCAAAGGAATCAGGCTGCGCTCCCAGGATTCTGGTCTGCCCCTGTTGCAGACTCATGCTTTGTAGGGAATGAGTGAATGAACCACCCCTAGACACTGTAGATCTCAGGATCCATTCCCTTATTCCTGGAAGACAGCGTCGCACCCGTCAGGTGAGCGCAGTCTTCCAGGTGTCGACTGGCCACTTTGTGCCGGCAAAGATCTGCAGCGGAAAAGACGCGCAAGCTGAGCATCACGTCGTGCGCGGAGCTTGGTGTCGAAACGGGCAAACGATTTCCGGAACCAAATTAATCCAACACATTTCAGCAAAATATGCCGGGCATGCTTCCAAGAACTGGGAAGGAGACCCGCAGTAGATATGTCCAAGCTGAAATGACTCACAAAGCATACTCCTCTTAGCACACTCATTCGGCTTTAAAACCACACCCGACTTCTGCCGCCCGTAGGCGCGGCCCAGCCGTACGTGAGGACAACATCCTGCGCGGCCCGGACCCCACCTTCGAGCTTGAAGCTGTTCCATTTCAGGCCAACCACCTGATTTTTGGGACGGACAGCACAAGCGCGCCGAACAGCGCGGAGTGGAACGCAGGTCGTGACGATCCCAATGCAATTTTGCGCGCACCATCATCAATGCAAAAGTCACCAATATCGGCATATTCCACACCTGCTTCCCCTCCTCCACTGCCAGATGAGCGCCCTTGTCCTCAGGTGTCTCGGTCAACTGGACCGACGGATTGGGAGAGGAAGCGAGCGGAGCAAGCATCGTGTCGCCAAGAAACCTGGAACTTTGACATTCATATGCAGTATATAATTCCATCTTTTACTGAACAGTTGCCTTGTTTAGTACTCAGGCGTTCTGAGCTTGTTCTACGTAATATTTGGGGTATAAAACGATATAAAGCGTGTTTTTGTTAATGCTCCGAACCAAAACGGCATGCTGAGTGTACCGGCACCTCCCGCGCAACGCCCGGGACCCGCTCCTCGGCGCTCTTGCCCGCCATGCGGAAGGCCTGGACGGCGAGGCTGCCACCGATGCCGTGGGGCTCCAGTGGTTGTTTTGTTGGTTTTCCACTTATGAAATGGCTCGAATGGCGAGACGCACACAATAATGAGGTGTTGTGTTTTTCTTCGAAACTCACAAGGAGTTAAAGTCCAAAGCTACATGTGCTTTCTCCTGGCCAACTTCAAGTAATAACCGTGGATGAATCAAAGAAGACTTCTCAGTGACCTGTGCCGCCGTATCCCAAAAGGCAATTATTAACGGATGGAGTGATTTCTACGCGGGGCAAGTGACTTCTGGGGGGCCCTCAGGTTGATACTTATTTGGAATACATTTAAATTGCGTACTTCCAGGAACTTCCGGCACGACATGCAATCTCATGTGGCACTCTGCCCAGTGGTTACTTGGAGAAGTGTGGGGGTTCATCACACTGCGCTGCCCGGCGAATAGTCAATGTACCCGTACTGGACGAGCCCCTGATGGAATGTCTATCTTAGCGTCAATATTGTTTATGATATATGACTGTTTTGCAAATAATAAACATTATAATATAATATATAGGCATCTGTGACTTGCAAATGTCCCTCCCTCTCTCTTGCACTCTCTCTCTCTCTCTCTCTTTCCCTATCATGTCTGCCTGTGCAGGCTGCGGACGGCACTGTCCTTCCAATTTCGAAATGGCCAGGTAGACCATCAACAAACTCTCAATGTTCTGGTTGAGTGCTGAGGGTCCTTGCGTCAGAAAGACCCCTTAAGAATCCTTGAGCTTTCCACAGCTCCACCTCCTCATTTTGGAGGCGGAACAACGCGATCTGCTAAGCAGTCCAACTCCCTCCCAGGATCAAGAAGGATCAAGAAGAAGGGTGCATTTGCACGGAAGACACCTCCGGATTGAATACAGGCCCGGTGTCCCTGCGCCGCTGGCTCATCGGATCATTGTTGCGTCCTGGGCCTGAAGAGCTCACGCATATCGCGGCTATCAAGGATCACAGCTTCCACTTATGCCAAGCACGGCAGTCACTCACAGCACGGTTCCGCCCCTTCGATCGCACGGCGCCCTTGACCGAACCGACCGACCGTTCCTGAGAGGTCCATGGAGCCCCTGGAAGACTGACCTCCACTTGAAAGCTGGCACGAGAGTGGTGGAAGGCCTGCTTCTTGCGTTGTTCCCAAGTCTGGTGTCTCAGCGCGGGTGCATACCGCCTGGCTGGCCTGGGTAAGCTGTTACGGCAAGTGATTTGCAGTATTCCATGAGGTGAGGTTGCCAAATATATAGGATCTCAATGCCACCTGATGGGTTTGCAGGCCTCTCGGTCTCAGTGGGCTCAAGCATCCCAATGTGCAATAAACATCTCTGAAACCACCACCCAAATGACTCAAATGACCCCAAACGCCTTCCTCCCGACTCACTCCGGCGCCAGGCCTTGCCCCTGGAGGTGTAAATGACCTCGCTTATATGGTGCGTGGACATGCGTGACACAACGGGTCGAGCGTTCTGCAACTCTTGTGTATTGTAGGCCATCGCTTGTTTGAAAACCACTGGCTTGAACTTGTATAGCATTGGTTGTTACAGTTATATAATCGCTACAAATTATTGAGGGGGGAGGTGTTAAGTTGCTTGGGGACCGTCGTTCGTTGTTTCGGGGGAATTAGCGCAGAAGAAGTGTTTTTGACCCTTGCGGACCTCTGAAGAATTGGTTGTTCAGAACTAACAAAGGGTATAAAACACGTCTTGTTTTTTTTTGCGTTGTTAGTGGCAACATACGAGACCCAAAGGACTATTTCATAGGTTTGTTTGTCTCGTGAGTGGTGAGTGAACGGCCATGGTAAAAGCTTTGTAGACGTTGTAAACCTTTGTAAGTTTGTTTGTAATTCAACAACTCTGTCAACTCTTTGCAAAAGTTGCAAACTTTGTACAAATTCTTAAGACTTTGTGAAAGTTTTGTAAACTTTGTATAACTTTGTAAAAATACAAAACTTTGTAAACGTTCTAAAAACTGTGTAAAACGTTGCTCTAACTTTGAAGAATAATTTGAAGAACTCCAAAACTTCGTAAAAGGTTTGTAAACCTTTTTACAAAGTTTGCGAATTTTACAACGTCTTAATAAAGTTTTACCAAGTTCTTACACAGTTTTACAAGTTTAAAGGTTGACAAAGCTTACAAAGTTTGACAAAGTTTAAAAATGTTTTACAAAGTCTACAAAGTGTTGACAAAGTTTACCAAGTTTATACCAAGTTCACTACGTTTTTACAAAGCTTTCAAAGTTGGTACAAAGTTTACAAAGTTTTACACAGATTTTATGAAGTTTGCAAAGTTTTGAAAGTTTTACAACTGTTTACCAAGTTTACAAAGTTATACAAAGTTTACAATATTTTAACACAGTTTACAAAGTTTTGAACAATTTCCAAAGTTTACCCAGTTTACAAAGGTTTTACCATTAAAAAATCAATTAAAGACGTATTGAAAGTTTTACAATGTTGCTGCAATGTTGACAAAGTTTTTACAAAGTTTACACAGTTTTGCAAAGTTTTGATAGTTTACAAAGCTTGTACAAAGTTTATAAAATCTTTACAAAGATTGCAATTTTTACAAATTCACATGGAGTTTTTTCAAAGTGTACAAACATTTGCAAACTTTACATAGTTTACAAAGCTTTCACAAAAGTTGCAAAGTTTATACAGTTTACAGAGTTCTTGCACAGCATTGAAAGTTTACAACGATTTTAGAAAGCTTTGGAATTTGACAAAGTTCTTGCAAAGTTCGGAATTTTCACAGTTGTTCAATTTTTACAGAGTCTACAAAGTCTCACAAAGTGTTTACAAAGTTTTCAAAGTTTTTACAAAGTTTACAAAGTTGTACAACGTTTTTACAAAGTTTACAACAGCTTTTTCAAGTTTACAAAGTTTTTACAAAGTTTACAAAGTTTTTACAAAGTTTACAAAGTTTTTACAAAGTTTACAAAGTTTTTACACAGTTTACAAGGTTTTTACAAAGTTTTTACAAAGTTTACAAAGTTCTTACAAAGTTTACAAAGTTTTTACAAAGTTTTTACAAAGTTTGCAAGGTTTTTACAAAGTTTTTACAAAGTTTACAAAAGTTTTCAAGTTTGCAAAGTTTTTACGAAGTTTACAAAGTTTTTACAAAGTTTACAAAGTTTTTACAAAGTTTTTACAAAGTTTACAAAGTTTTTGCAAAGTTTGCAAATGGCTGGTGAAAAACACTTGTGTTTACAACAAATGACATGAAAAACACTTCTTTTCAATTAAAAAATCGTGCAAAAACACTTCTTTCACAGAACTTTACAAAGTTTTACAAAGTTTTTACAAAGTTTACATAGTTTACACAGTTTTTACAAAGTTTACAAAGTTTTTACAAAGTTTACAACGTTCTGACAAAGTTTGCGACATTTGCCTTTTGTTACACAAATTTACAAAGTTTTTACAAAGTTTACAAAGTTTTGAAGATATTGGAAAGTTCACAAAGATTTTGCCAAGTTTACGAAGTTTTGCAAAGTTTACAGAGTTTCGACAAAGTTTACAAAGTTTTGACAACAATTACAAAGTTTTGATAGTTTATTTATTTGCAAAGTTTACAAAGTTTCTTTCTACATTTTACAAAGTTTTTACAAAGTTTGTACAGTTTCACAATTTGTACAAAGTTTTGAGGAAATTTACAAAGTGTTCAAAGTTTACAAAGTTTTCACAACGTTCACAAGGTCTTCATGTTTACAATGCTTTGACAAAGTTTACGAAGTTTAAAAACGTTTTACAAAGTTTGCAAAGTGCTACGAAGTTTATAACGGTCTTTTTTTAAATAGAGTT